CAGTACAAACTGTGCAACATTCTCAAATTGTAGCAGTTAATAAAAACATTAAGCTGCATTGCAGTACCCACTGCTACATTGGGAATTGCAAGTTCTGTGGTTTAGTGGTTAAGACACTAGGAAGGTTATCTGGAGGTTGTGGGTTTGATTCCCACCCGAGAGAGATTGCTTTCGCAAGTATGTGGAAACATACAAAGCATTTAGTATGACAAGTCAGGTAGGCAAAAAACATCATTACTAATCTGAAGACGCAAACACTATTGGAATAAATAACATTAATATAATGTTGGTCATTTCAATAGAATCATGTGTCCCATTATTACACTGGTTTTAATAAACTACACAGCGAACAGCTTCCTGCATTCCATATAGAATTTGACATTTAACATTGACAAAACACTACAACATGCGCATCATAATATCTACCAATACATAGTCTGTGCATTCCATATAGAATTTGACATTTAATATTGACAAAAATCTACAAAATATGCATCATAATATCTACCAATACATAGTCTGTGCATTCCACATAGAATTTGACATTTAATATTGACAAAAATCTACAAAATACGCATCACAATATCTACCAATACATAGTCTGTGCTGTAGCTGCATGTGATGACGTACGTTGCCTGGACAACGTCAAATGGTATATTTGGGTTTCTAGAGCAGAATTTAAAGGAACTACAGGTTCACACTTCACACAATTTATTGCACAAAATTAACCTTGAAGTAATGATTCACATGGTGGTAATAATGGTTGACATTGTCATCCAGGTTATATATGTGGCAAAGACAAGTCAAACCAGTCAATCGTCGCAAAAATCGATTTTGAGTTATTAATACAGTGTTAGAGAGTAAAATAATAGCTATAAAATGGTAAAAAAATCATTCAAATCCGACATTTCCTTATCAAGTTACAAGCATTTAACCACACAGCTGTTTAAAGAACAATACATGAGAAATTAGCCGTCAAAGTTTATGATTTCAGGCATTTCTCATGCAGAAACTATCTTTAAACCCTTAAAAAGTGTTGTTTTAACATTGAAAATGGGGAAAATAACAGCATAGAATGATGTGTAGATATATAAAGGTTAGTTTAGTGCAATAAAATAGATTTTTAAAAATTTGACATTCCAGCATGTTTTGGCCATTTTCTCTGAAACACGATTTGCGACGAGTGACTAATTTGGCTTGTCTTTGTCACATATGTTTTAAGTAAATAAATAAATATCGGATTGGATTCAATTTCTTCGGAGTGATACACTTACACACCAAGGATAATACATGAAAGTTATAGGACTTATTTCTAGTGGGGTTCTCCTTGTGGTGGATTAGGCAGTACACTGGGAGACAATCCCCTACTCTTTTCCGAAGAGTGTACTGTGTTCTTTAACAGTGCGCTTTAGAAACTTGCATTTCAGTCCTCCAGCTTAAACACAACAAAATCGATGGGAATTGAACCGGGGACCAAGAGATCTCCACGGCTCAAAGTGGCAACCATCATCAGGGGCGGATTTAGGTTAGTTTAGTGCAATAAAATAGATTTTTAAAAATTTGACATTCCAGCATGTTTTGGCCATTTTCTCTGAAACACGATTTGCGACGAGTGACTGGTTTGGCTTGTCTTTGTCACATATGTTTTAAGTAAATAAATAAATATCGGATTGGATTCAATTTCTTCGGAGTGATACACTTACACACCAAGGATAATACATGAAAGTTATAGGACTTATTTCTAGTGGGGTTCTCCTTGTGGTGGATTAGGCAGTACACTGGGAGACAATCCCCTACTCTTTTCCGAAGAGTGTACTGTGTTCTTTAACAGTGCGCTTTAGAAACTTGCATTTCAGTCCTCCAGCTTAAACACAACAAAATCGATGGGAATTGAACTGGGGACCAAGAGATCTCCACGGCTCAAAGTGGCAACCATCATCAGGGGCGGATTTAGGGGGGGGCCGGCCCGGCCCCGGCCCCCCCCCCCCCTTTTGGGAGGTAAAAAAAAGAAAAAAAAAAAGAATAAAAGAGAGAAAAAGAAAAAAATGATAGCCCAGAATGCCTCAAATGTTATGTTCGGGCGTCTAGAACACAAAATTTCGCGGGGACATGTCCCGGACCCACTACGACAGTGTTGTCTCAATCGGCCCAACTTTTGGCCCCCCTACCAGCCGCCCCTTTTGGACATTTTTGGATCCGCCCCTGATCATTCAGCCGACTGAGCTAGCTGCTCTTTACAGAATAGATAAAGATATAGCAAAACCTGACATTGTACTATACAAAAACATACATAAAATAGTCTAGAATTCCGCCCTGTGCCTGAATAACGAACTCTACGCAGGAGGTCATGTATGGGCAATTTCATTTTTTTTCATGTTCAAAGGTACAAAAATTGGATTTCTGTGACCTTGATCTTTTCCTTCACAAAAATTCATCTCTGTCTTTGATTATTATGTACCATTCCACAAAATTTTATGATGCTTGATTAATTATTTTTTGCGTAATCTTTGGCAACAGACCGACAACACAGAAAGATGCGGTGAACCATTACCTCTTTAGCGGAGGTAAAAATACAATTCTTACCTTATGTAATGAAGTCCTCTCAACAAGTTGAAATGGAGCAGGGTCAATTTGAGAATCAGAAAAATCGATTTGCTCTTTTAGAACGGCAGCTTCCCACTCGGCTTGCTAAAAAATACAAGGTTTAAAAAATTATATATAACTATAAATTGCAAATTGCAAGTGAAGTGCTGCGAAGTACAACTGCATAATGTTCTTCGAACAAAATTATTTATGCGAGTCAAGTGAAAATAATGAATAATAAAAATATAACAAATAATATGAGACACGACCCATTGTCTATATTAGAACACTTCTCATTGGGTAACAAAGTCGTAGTTTTTCATTTTTGTCAAAAAGTGTCTATAGTGGTGAATTATGGTTTAGGTTTTTTTTTTAATAAAGTTTCAAAAATTTCTATGTATGTGGAAAATGTAGTTGATTACCAAAGGTTACAATTTTTAATTTGAAGACTGCATGGTCTAGGAAATGTACATTTTTTTTATGGGGAAAGTTTCCAAGGGCGGGTTTTCTAGGGGCGAGTTAACTGTCAAAGAGTTCTGCCAAAGTGCGAGCCAGCGTGTTATTTGATCACAAGTGCGAGACATCGTAAGTGTGAGCCAGCGAGCCATGACATCACGGCAATAGATACGAGACGTTACTCGAGTTGTGCGAGGTATTGGCTGAGATTTGTGGAGTACAATTCAAAAAACAACTATAGGTCTAATAATGAATTATTGTGATGTTAAATAGACAACGTTAGCTATCAAGGAGCGATGTTGTTTTTCATTGGGACCTTCGTCCCTTCAAGGCTAGGCCTATACCATCCTAGCTAGTCTAGGCCTAGAGTAGGATACGGCTAGCGCGACATGCGGCCGTTGGTATGTGTTGGTTAGTCTACAAACGTCACCTAAAGTAATTGATTTTACCCGGCAGAACGAAAGAAGGAAACTCCGCTTTTCAGTCGTCTTAGGCCCTTGTTTTTTGACAAACAATGACCTTTCAGAGGTCAAATTGCTGTCAAGAATATGAA